TCCCATAGGAGATCATATTACATTGACTGTACTGTGTTTCTGAAAAACGCTGCAGAAAACGCTGGTGCGTGAACCGAGGGTAAGGGAAGGGGAGGGTCATATTTATTGGCGGTGGCCCACTTTAACCCCTCGCCCTCCAGAGGATTCCCCCCCCCCCCCCCTTCCTGACCAGGCCAGTTTTTGCGATACGGCGCTGCGTTACTTTAACTGACAATTGCGCGGTCATGCAACGCTGTACGCGGATTAAATTTCCATCCTTTTTTTTTTTTTTTTCCCACGAATAGAGCTTTCTTTTGGTGGTATTTGATCGCCTGTGCGTTTTTTTTCATTTTTTTGTGCTATTAAAAAAATATGTATTTTGAGAAAAAAACAATATTTTTGACTTTTTGCTATTAAACGTCCAGTAAAAAAATTAAAAAAAAATCTAATTCCGTCATAAATTTCAGCCAAAATGTATCCCGCTCCATGTCTTTGCTAAAAAAAAAAATCCCAATCCGTGTAAATTAATTGGTTTACGTGAAAGTTATAGCGTTCTGACACTGGGGGGGGGAACTGACTTGGTGTCACTGACATCCCCAGTGACACCAATACAATGATCTTTTTTTTTTAACCACGTGCCCTCCAGAGGATTTCCCCCCCCCTTCTTGACCAGACCATTTTTTGCGATACTGCACTGCGTTACTTTAACTGATAATTGTGCGGTCATGCAACGCTTGCACCCGGATGAAATTTCTGTTCTTTTTTTCCCCACGAATAGAGCTTTCTTTTGGTGGTATTTGATCGCCTGTGCGTTTTTTATTTTTTTGCGCTATAAACAAATAAAAAGATAATTTTGAGAAAAAAAAACAATATTTTTGACTTTTTGCTATTAAACATTTCCAGTAAAAAAATTAAAAAAAAAAAAACATTTCTTTATAAATTTAGGACAAAATGTATTTTGCGCCATGTCTTTGCTAAAAAAAATCCCAATACCTGACAACTGCGCAGTCATGCAAAGTTGCACCAAAATTAAATTTACGTCCTTTTTTTCCCCATAAATAGAGCTTTCTTTCGTTGGTATTTGATCGCCTGTGCGGTTTTTATTTTTTGCGCTCTAAACAAAAAAGACCTACAATTTAAAAAAAAAAAAAAAAAACTCAATATTTTTGCCTTTTTACTATAAAATATATCCAGTAAAAAAATAAAAAAAATCTAATTTCATCATAAATTTCAGCCAAAATGTATCCCACTCAGTGTCTTTGTTAAAAAAAATCCCAATACGTGTAAATCACGTGAAAGTTATAGCGTCTACAAATGGCGGTATAGATACTGGGATTTCTTTTTTTTTTTACTAGTAATGGCGGTGATCAGAGACTTATAGCGGGACTGCGGTGGACTTTCTGACACTGGGGAGAACTGACTTGGTGTCATTGACATCCCCAGTGACACCAATACAGTGATCAGTGCTAATAAAAAGCACTGACACTGTACTGGACAGGAAGGGGTTAACATCTGGGGGCAATCAAAGGGATAACTGTGTGCTGTTTTACTAGGGAGATGTGCTGTGCAGAGAGATACACAGCAACATGTCCTTGCTGGCAGGAGAGAGATGTGTATTGTTTACATACAGACCTCTCTCCCGTCAGTGATAGTCGGCGATCACCGGATGGCGGCGGGGAATCTCCTGGCCAGGACTCGGTGATTGACAGCTGTAACTGCCAATGGCGGTGCGTGTAGGGTGCGCGCACGCCCCCTACCCGGAAATGCACAATCACATGATTTTGCACAGCCCTGCCGCCCTGTAGCAGTATTTGTGCCGTAGGGTGGCGGGGAATCGGTTAAGCGTGTCTCTGATAACCTGCTGCGTTGTAATCGGAGAAGATCTTCTGTAGTCACTAACAAACCAATTTGATCTTTTTCCCCGCCCAGGTCGTGTGCCCAACACATACAGAGCTGTCACAGCCGGACTGAAGTCATATGACCCGCCACCGGATTTTAGAGGTATTGAAGCAACTAAAATATGTTTTGCTTTTTTTTTTTGTTTTGTTTTGTTTTTGTTTTTTTTTTTTTTTTTTAAATTTATCCTTTTTTCTTGGTGTCAGGAAAACTTGTCAGAAGTGACTCATCTGCAGTCTTCTGTTCTCTACATCTGTTCAGAGTGTAGTATTTATAAAGCTTTTCTGGGAGTTCAGAAAAAAAGGGGCGGAAAGCTGAAATTACACACTGCAGAGCCCAATGAGGAGAGCTCTGGGAGCTGATTGGAGGAAAGGGACTCCACCCACCCCCCTCCTCTGCACAGCTCACAGGAACAGACCTGAGGCTGTCAATCACAGGCTGAGTGCTGGAGATCCCTCCACTGTCACCACTTTTTTCTTGGTGTCAAAAGTGACTCATCTGCAGCCTTCTCTTCTCTACATCTGTTCAGAGTGCAGTATTTATAAAGCTTTTCTGAGAGCTCAGAAACAGTGGGGGGGGGGGGGGGCCCTGAGAGCTGCAATTACACTCTGCAGAGCTCAGTGAGGAGAGCTCTGAGAGCTGATTGGAGGGAAGGGAACCGCCCCCCTCCACTCAGCTCACAGGAACAAACCTGGGGTTGTCAATCACAGGCGGTGTGCTGGAGGACCCTCCACTGTCACCACTCTTTTCTTGGTGTCAGGAAATCTTGTGACTCATGCTGGTAGCAGAGGAAGGAGGCAGCAGACAGAGATGACACTGGATAAGTGCTCTGGATTGAGACAAATACACATTATAGAGGGATATGCTTTGTTCATATTTTATGTCTGAGGTTTACAACCACTTTTTTTTTTTTTTCTTTCTTTTTTTTTTTTTTTTTTTATATTTTTATTGCACTTTTCATTTTGTCCTTAAAATCATAATAATAACATAATCAAAATAAAAGAGGAAGAGTACAAATTATAACCTTTAACATATGTACTGTAGCAAAGATACAGTTACATATGTATGTTTATCCCACTATTGATGTTTTAACCCCTCGCCTACCGGGCACTTTCACCCCCTTCCTGCCTAGGCCAATTTTCAGCGCTGTTGCAATTTGAATTACAATTGCGCAGTCATGCAACACTGTACACATATGACATTTTTAGCATTTTTTTTCCACACAAATGGAGATTTCTTTTGAGTGGTATTTAACCACTGGCCGACCGCAGATAGCCGAATGACGGCTTCACTGCGGCCGGCCAGTTCTGGGAGGGCGCCAATTGTTGTGGGTCCCGGACTTCTATCAGCGTCCGGAAGAGCACTGGTTAAAGCTTGTAGGAGGAGTTTTTATTCTGCTGCTGGAGGATGCAGGACCCCTGACCCTCTGTTTGGGTAGTGCTGATTGGCCCTGTGCTGATCATATGCACTCTTCCAAGTAAAAAAAAAAAACCTCTCTAGCAATATACACCAAACTGAGCATGTGCAGAGTGACTCCACACGATATGTCTTATCAGGAGATGAGAGAGGGACACTGGAAGAAGGGGACGATCAGAGAAGACAGGATCAAACAGTGTTTTTACACAATGTGGAGGATTAACCCCTGAGGTTCAACAGTGGGTATAACCAGCATGCTTTACTGCATATAGAGACTGATTGTACTGTTGTGGGTTTAGTGACACTTTAAATGCAGAGAAGTAAAAAAAAAAAGTCCACCTTAATTTTTAGATATTATATTTTTCAGTCTCTGTTCCACTTGGGGAGATTTCCCTTCATTTCTTGTCCCGAAGATGCAACAGGAAATGAGAAGAACTCTCCCCAAAGTGAAGGTTGAAGAGGGTTGTTCCGGGAGCAGGAGTCCCCAATATTCCCCCCCCCCCCCCTTCTTTTGTTCTGGTGATATCTAAACTTTTGGATTTCATCTTTTTGACAATGGTCACCAGGGCCAATGGGGAGAGTCGATCTTCCTGGCGGTGTCACTGACAGCAAAACAAATTAAGAGGGGCTAACCTCCCCCACTTTTGTGAATTGAGTCTCATGTCTTCAGCGCAAAGGTGGGCACAGCTCTGTATTTTGCTTTTTCAAGTTAACCCTTCATGCCTAAGGGTAAAACAAATCTAAATGCCTAAGCACAATTTTGCACCATTGACATGTGATAGTAAAACTGTACATATCATCACAACTACTTTGTACATCCAGGTGGATTATACCTTGTTTTTTTCAGGACAAACTGGGCTTTCATTTGGTGGTAAATGGTAATGGATATCTCCTGATTTTTTTTTTTTTTATGATCAAAGGAAAACTGGCCCAAAATAGTAAAAAAAAAAAAATAATTTTTTTATTTATCTGTGTGTTTCTTGTTACTACCATAACCTACTGCCAAAGAACAACCCAAAATAAATTCTCCAGCTCTTGACGATCGTAGCGATACCATATATGTGTATGTTATTTGTACGCGTAGTACAGCCCAGAAACAATAGTGTGCATTTTGTATTTTTTTTTTTTTTAACCTAAAACACACTGATCTTGACACTAATACCATTTTTTTTAAATTCTGCCCTTTGACCTTGACCTTTGACCCTGTCCTTCACCCAAACAATAACCCTAGCACTGAACTAGATCAAACCTTGATCTAGGTATTTTTTCTTTATTTTTTTATTTTATTTGTTAATATTTATGTGTTTCTTTTTTTTTTTTTTTTACAAACATTTTTTTTCTCTCTATGCCAGGAGTTAGAGATATACAATGTATCTCTCTTCTCCACTCAGAGAGAGAGAAAAAAACAAGGGGACCAGGTTGCACAGTGACTGATCACTGTGATAGCCAATCAGAGGCTATCACAGCGATCATGTGACTCGGAATCGGGGGTCCCGATCTTTAGAACGGGACCAGGGGCTCTCAGTGACACCACGGTCTTTGTGCTGGGAGCGCAGTGCGCAGGGAAAAAAAAAAAAGAAAAAGGGGTACATATTGAGCACTGTTCAGTACCTGCAATCCGCAGTTTTATAAGGTTTTGTTTTTGCTTTTTAATTCCCGCGGGCATACACTACAGACTGAATAGTTTTTCCTGTTTCACAGGTGTCCAGATGAAGGAGAAACCCAAACTGCGCGTTTTGAACAAGGTGCCGGACCTAGTGAAAGCGGTGAAAATGCCCAAGAACCTACGAGACATTCGCGGCCCTGCGACCGAGGGGCGGGACTTCCGGGAAGGAGAATTCGGGATCTTGGTAATGAGAACCTATAAGTAATGTAAATGAAGGAAAAAGACTGTCAGCCCAACTCCAGATTTACTGTCCATTTGTGACCACTTGCCCTCCAGAGGATTTACCTCCCTTCCTGACCAGGCCTTGTTTTGCAATATGCAACATTGCGCGGTCATGCAACGCTGTCCCCCCCCCCCCCCCCACATAAAGAGCTTTCTTTCGGTGGTATTTGATTGCTTGTGTGTTTTTTATTTTTTGCGCTATAAACAAGAAAAGAACAATTTAAAAAAAAAACAAAACAATATCTAACATGTCCAGTAAAAAAAATTGAAAAAATCAAATTTTGTCATAACTTTTGGCCAAAATGTATTCTGTTCCATGTCTTTGCTAAAAAAAAAAAAAAAAAAATCCCAATACGTGTAAAATAATTGGTTTACATGAAAGTTATAGCATTTACAAATGGCGGTATAGATCCTGGGATTTTTTTTTTCTTTTATGTATATGTGTGTGTACATGTGTGTATGTATATATGTGTGTGTGTGTATGTATATGTGTGTGTGTGTGTGTGTGTGTGTGTGTATGTATGTGTGTGTGTGTGTGTGTGTGTGTGTATATATGTATGTGTGTGTGTGTGTGTGTGTGTGTATATATGTATGTATGTAGATATGTGTGTGTGTGTGTATGTTATGTATGTATGTAGATATATGTGTATGTATGTATGTGTATGTATGTATGTATGTATGTATATATATATATATATATATATATATATATATATATATATGTATATATATATATATATATATATGTGTAATGGCAGCAATCAGAACTTATAGCGGGACTGCGGCGGCCATTCTGACACTGGGGGGCTAATAAAAAAGCACTGACACTGTACTAATGGCACTGGGCAGGAAGGGGTTAACATCTGGGGCAATCAAAGGGTTAGCTCTGTGTTTTACTGGAGGAGACACTAAGGAGACATGCTGTGCACAGAGATACACAGCAGCATGTCCTTGCTGACAGGAGAGAGATCTGTCAGTGATAGCGACCACCGGGTGCCGGCGGGGAATCTCCGGCCAGGACTCGGTGATTGACAGCTGTAACTGCCAATGGCGGCGCGGGTATGGCGCGCGTGTCCCCTACCCGGAAATGCAAAATCGCATGATTTTGCGCAGTCCTGCCGCCCTATAGCAATATTTGTGCCGTAGAGCTGTGGGGAAGCGGTTACATGTGTCTCTGATAACCTGCTGCGTTGTAATCGGAGAAGATCTTCTGTAGTCACTAACACACCAATTTGATCTTTTTCCCCACACAGTTCGTGTGCTCAACACATACAGAGCTGACACTGGGGGGGGGGGGGGGATAAACTAACTGTCACTGACATCCCCATTGACACCAATACAGTGATCAGTGCTAATAAAAATCACCGACACTGTACTAATGGCACTGGGCATGAAGGGGTTAATATGTGGGGCGATCAAAGGGTTAACTGTGTGCTGTTTTCCATAGGGGGCTGTGTGTGTGCTTCACTGTAATCACACTGCTCTGGATGGCTGTGCTGTGCTGTGTGCCCGAGTTGACAGGGAGGACAACTGTTTTGTTTACAAATAGTTCTCCTGCCCATTGGAGATCCTCTGCAGTCACTGGGCACCAGTGAGTAATCACCGGCCGGGACCTGGTGATTGATAGCCGGGATGGTATTGATGGCGGCACGCATGAGCCCTGTACCCGGAGATGCAAAATCACGTGTATATATACGTGATTTTGCGCACCCATGCCGCCCTGTTGCAGTATTTCTGCTGTAGGGTGGTCGGTAAGCGGTTAAAAAGCCTTTACAGGTTACAAATTTAGTTACATAGGAGATCTGGTGCTAGAATTATTGCTCTCACTGTGACGTTTGCGGCAATACCTCACATATGTGGTGTAATCGCTGTTTACATATGCATGTGGGACCTACACATGCGTCACATTTGTGTGTGGGAATGGGAGCCCTTTAATTTTTTTATTATTACTATTATTATTATCATTTTTATTATTATAATTTTTTTATTAACATTTTATTATTACTATTATCATTTTTTATTATTATTTTTAATATTATTAATAATACTTTTTTTAATATACTGTAGTTTTATTTTTTTTGTTAATCACTTTTTCTGCTTTTAGAAGGGATAGATAGCAGGGGCTGTGTTAGGTTCTCTTTTTTTTGAAGAGTTCTCTGGCCTCCAAAGCATCTGATCAAACCAAGATTGGTTCAATCTAATGCTTTCACAAGCTGGTAATGGCTTGTTTACATGTCCCCAAAACTGGGAGTGATGAAATCCTAGTCTCTTCCAGTTTCTGGCGACACACAATGGAAGGAATGACATCCGTTCCTCTCGCTGTGTCACAGGAATCGGATGCCGCCGGTTGCATCCTTACCAGGCTCCCTGACCTGTAGAAAAAGCCTGGTAAAGGTTGCAGGGGGGGGGGGGGGGGGGGGTGGCCTTTTGCTGCCTGTAAAAGTAATTAAGGGGCTCTTTAGCTGCTCGGATTACTTTTTGTTCAGCACTACCAGCTCTAAACAGTGATATCTCGGTCATCAGTGCAGCTGCAGCAATGACCGAGATATCACTCTTCCCATCCAAGAACGTACAGGTACATCCTATAGATGGGGGTAGTGGTTAACCGCTTCCCGTCCACCCTATAGCAGAAGTACTGCTACAGGGCGGCATGGGTGTGCAAAATCATGCATATATACATGATGTTGCAGGTAGGGGGCGCACGCACATGCCCTACCTGTGCCGCTATTCGCGGCCGTGGCTGTCAATCACCTGGTCCCAGCTGGTGATTACTCGCCGGCGCCTGGTGATTGCCAAGCATCTCCGACAGGGGGAAAGACCTGTATGTAAACAAAACCGTTCTCTCCCGTTTTCTCCTGCACACTGCTTTACATGGCTCTGCATAGCAGTGTGCTTACAGTGAAGCACAAACACAGGACGCTTTGGAAAACTGCTTACTGTTAACCCTTTGATCGCCCCACATGTTAACCCCTTCTTGCCCAGTGCCATTAGTACAGTGTCAGTGCTTTTTATTCGCACGATCACTGTATTGGTGTCACTGGGGATGTCAGTCCCCCCCCCAGTGTCAGAATGCAGCATTTGTTTGAGAGAGATAGAGCTTTCTTTTGGTGGTATTTAATCACCTCTGGGTTTTTTATTTTTTGCTAAACAAACCATAAACAACTGAAAATATTTCTTAGTTTTCTTAGTTTCTGTTATAAAATTTTGTAAACAAGTGATTTTTTTTTTTTTCCTCCTTCACTGATGTGCGCTAATGAGGCTGCAGTGATGGGCACTGATGAGGAGGCACTGGTAGGTGGCACTGATGGGCATTGACAGGCATCACTGATGGGCACTGAAAGGCAGCAGTCATATATGGCACTGATAGGCGGCACTGACTGGCACTGATAGGTGACACTGATAGGCAGCACTGAAAGGCAGCTCAGATGGGCACTGATATGTGGCACTGATGGGCACTGGCAGGTGGCATTGATGGACACTGACAGGTGGCACTGATGGGGCTACACTGATTATCAGGGCACACTGATCATCAGTGCCCTGATGATCAATGTACATGTCCCCTCTGAGTAATGCCGATTACTGGCTCTCTTCTCCACTGTCAGTGGAGTGTGACAGCTCGTGAGGAGAGGAATGCTGATAACCGGCATTTCCTTATTTACATGTGATCAGCTGTGATTGGACACAGCTGATCACATGACAGAGCTGACATTATCTGCTTTTTCTGCTGATCGGTGATCCACTGTGTCCCAGGGACACAGTGCACCGCCGATCGCCGCACACCCCTGGGGTTAGAGTGGGAGGACGTCCTCCCAGAACTAAAGAACCACCTCGCGTCCATCATTTCCTTATATGGGCGGGAGGCGGTTAATAGCAAAAATTCAAACATTTTGTTTTTTTTTCTCAAAATTGTCGGTCGTCTTTTTTTTTTTTTTTTTTTATAACACAAAAAAATTTAAAACCGCAGACGTGAACAAATACCATTAAAATAAAGCTCAATTCAAGGGAAACAAAGGATGTAAATTTCATGTGGGTGTAGTGTTGCATGACTGCACAATTGTCAGTAAAAGTGACACAGCGCCAAGAATGCAGCCAGAGAGAGAAGGAGAAATGATTGCTTTTACAGCCTTTGTGGGTGTAAAAGAAATCCGTGTAAAAAAAGAAAAAAAATCTTCAGCACCCCCCACAAGTAGTACAGTGTCACTATGGTGACACTGTACTGCTCGGGTGACAGTATGTAAACCCCCCCATAAATATAAAAAAATAAAATGTAAGAAACTAATTTAGAAAAATTATAATTTTTGGCTATAAACTAATTTGGGTGGTTATTTTATATATTTTTTTTTTTACTAAAAAGATAACTGAATACATTTTGGCCAATATTTATGAAAAAAGATTATTTGCAAAATTTTATAAGAAAAACATTTTTTTTTTTTTTTTAATTATTGGACTTTTTCATTTTTATATAGCAAAAAAAAAAATCCCAGTGGTGAATAAATACCACCAAAATAAAGTTGTATCTGTCTCAAAAATAATTGCTAAAAAATTCATATGGGTACAGTGTTGCATGACCGTGCAATTGTCATTCAAAGTGTGAGGGCGCTGAAACCTGAAAATTGGCCTGGACAGGAAGGGGGTGAAAGTGTCTGGACTTGAAGTGGTTAAAGCCACTGATTTGAGTTGATGTTTCCCGCTGATTTGAAGTTGCCCTGTGTAAAATACTCTGATATTTTGTGTGCTTTAGGCTCTGGGAGGCGGCTACTTACACTGGGGCCACTTCGAAATGATGCGTTTGACCCTAAACCGCAAGTTCAATGCTCGCACCACCTTCAGCCTGTGGATGGTGGAAGCACCCAACAAGCCCATTACTCGCAAAGGACTCGGCCACCGTATGGGTGGGGGAAAGGCGCCGTGGACCATTACGTCACCCCAATCAAAGCCGACCAGCTTGTCGTGGAAGTGGGGGGTCAATGCGAGTTTGAAGATGTCTTTCCGGTCCTGGAACAAGTGGCCAAGAAGCTTCCTTTCGCAGCAAAGGCCGTTAGTCGGGAGAGCCTAAAACAGTTGCGGGAAGAGTTGGAGGAGAGGCAAAGGAACAACCAGAATCCATGGACCTTTGAACGCCTTGTGACACGCAACATGATGGGGTGTAGGAAGTATCTCAGTCCGTATGATCTTCATTTTAAGGGAAGATATTGGGGAAAACGCTACCTGAAAGCTCGTGTATGAGGCTGTTCACCTTCGCTCATTCAAAATGGAGGCTTTTATGGTCGAAGTTAAAGTGGTTCTAAGGTCTCAAGGTTTTGCATGAAGGTAAAAAAAAAACCTTCTGTGTGTAGCATCCCTCCCCCCAACACTTATCTGAGCCCCCTCTTGATCCAACGATGCCTACAAAAGCCTTGGTTCTCTGAGGACTCTCACTCCTTGGCTTTCGCTGCTGTCAATCACAGCCAGTGAACCAATCAGGAGGGGGGGGGGGGGCCGAGCCGCAGCTCTGTGTGTGAATGGACGCGCAGGGTGCCCCCATAGCAAGCTGTTTGCTATGGGGCAACCTGATGGGAGGGAGGGGCTGGAGCTCCGGTGGAGACCCGAGAAGAAGATGAAGATCCGGGCTTGTCTGCAAAACCTTTGGATAGAGCAGATAGGTATGACATTGTTATTACAAGACTTTAGTATCACTTTAATTTCTGTGGCTATGTATTATGCTGAAATGGGGACTGTTTTATGTTCTCAGTCCAATTCCATGATGGTGTCTCGTCCCGTGACAAAATGGAATCTGTTGTGTTCGTACAGTTGGTCGCCAGACCGCAGGCTGAAGATGACTACATTTGGTTGTTGAATTTGTACTTTTTTTGGTTTTTTTTTATGCGTACTTCATTATGATTTAAATAAAGATTATTCTACATTGAAAATCCACAGAGATCACTAAATATGTGGTAAGGCTGCAGAAAACCGGTATGAAGTCGGGTATTTCGACATTGTACTAACACCCTCCGTTGTGTGTAGTCTGTTGTCCGTTGTACAGAGTGTCTAAATCTTCCTGTGCAGACCAATTTGGACAAGATGGCTCCAGCGATCAATGGTCAGTCCTTAGTAGTTGTAGAGACACTCCCCCATGGCACCTGTAGCTAATCTCTGAGTTGGACGGTATGAAAGATGAAAGTATGGCAACGTCAAACTAGTCTGGTGGATAAGCAGCCCCAAAAAATGTTCCACACATTCAAGCTGTCCTGCTAGGCTTCTTGGGAGCAGCAGTGTCAGCGCGAACAATCCGTCGACATTTAAATGAAATGAAACGCTTTGAGACCAAGATAGAGCTTTTCGAGTAAAGCACATCTTTCTACTGTTTACCCCGAAAACGGAAATGAGGCCTACAAAGAACAAAAACACAGTACCTACGGTAAAATGATGGTGGGAGTTCAATGATATGTTTTGGGGTTGTTATTGCTGCCTCTGGCACTGGGTGCCTTAGACTGTGTGCAAGGCATCATGAAATTGAGGATTACCAAAGGATTTTGGGTCGCACTTTGTAATACAAGTCTGTGTACGGGCTCTCCCCGGACCCCGCATTCACTGTATCCGTTCTCCCCTTTGTAATACCCCGCATTCACTGTATCCGTTCTCCCCGGACCCCGCATTCACTGTATCCACTCTCCCCGGACCCCGCATTCACTGTATCCGCTCTCCCCGGACTCCGCATTCACTGTATCCGGTCCCCAACAGGACACAGAACATGGAAATGCAATTATTTTAGTAAATTATAAACTCCTTCCTTTTATCATCAGCTCACCTGTACCCCATCTATACAGCTCACCTACTGTAAACCCCTTCTATACAGCTCACCAGCATCTCTTGTATATATCTCCCCTGTTCCCCATCTATACATCTAACCAGCATCTCTTCTGTACAGCTCACCTGTACCCCTTTAATACAGCTCACCCACTGTAAACCCTTTCCATACAGCTCACTAGCATCTCTTGTATACAGCTCACCTGTACCCCATCTATACAGCTCACCAACATCTCTTGTATACAACTCACCTGTACCCCCATCTATACAGCTCACCATCATCTCTTGTATACATCTCACATGTACTCCTTCAATACAGCTCACCCACTGTAACCCCCTTCTATACAGCTCACCTGTACCTCTTTTATACAGCTCACCAGCATCTCTTGTATACAGCTCACCTGTACCCCTTCTATACAGCTCACCAGCATCTCTTGTATACAGCTTACTTGTACCCCATCTATACAGCTCACCTGCACCCCGCCTATACAGCTCTCCTGCATCTCTTGTATACAACTCACCAGCATCTCTTATACTGAATGCGGGGTCCTGTACTCCTTCTATACAGCTCAACTTTACCCTTTTATACAGTTCACCAGCCTCTCTTGTATACATGTCACCTGTACCCCTTCTATACAGCTCACCAGTATCTCTTGTATACAGCTCACCTGTACCCCTTCTATACAGCTCACCAGCATCTGTTCTATACATCTCACCTCTACCCCTTCTATACAGCTCACCTACTGTAAACCCCTTCTATACAGCTCTTCTACTGTAAACCCCTTCTATACAGCTCACCAGCATCTCTTCTATATATCTCCCCTGTACCCCATCTGTACATCTAACCAGCATCTCTTCTGTACAGCTCACCTGTACCCCTTCAATACAGCTCACCCACTGTAAACCCCTTCTATACAGCTCACCAGCATCTCTTGTATACAGCTCACCTGTACCCCATCTATACAGCTCACCAACATCTCTTGTATACATTTCAACTGTACCCCTTCTATACTGCTCACCAGCATCTCTTGTATACAGCTCACCTGTACCCCATCTATACAGCTCACCTGTACCCCATCTATACAGCTCACCTGTACCCCATCTATACAGCTCACCTGTACCCCATCTATACAGCTCACCAGTATCTCTTGTATACAGCTCACCTGTACCCCATCTATACAGCTCACCAGTATCTCTTGTATACATCTCACATGTACCTCTTGTATACAGCTCACCAGCATCTCTTGTATACAGCTCACCTGCATCTCTTGTATACAGCTCACCTGCATCTCTTGTATACAACTCACCAGTATCTCTTGTCTACAGCTCACCTGTACCCCTTCTATACAGCTCACCAGCATCTGTTCTATACATCTCACCTCTACCCCCTCTATACAGCTCAGCTACGTCCATTCTGTACAGCTCATCAGCAGCTCTTGTATACAACTCTCCTGTACCCCTTCTATACAGCTCACCAGTAGCTCTTGTCTACAGCTCACCTGTACCCCTTCTATACAGCTCACCAGCATCTGTTCTATGCATCTCACCTCTACCCCCTCTATACAGCTCAGCTACGTCCATTCTGTACAGCTTATCAGCATGTCTTGTATGCATCTCATCTGTACCCCTTCTATACAGCTCACCAGCATCTCTTTTATAGATCTCTCCTATACCCCATCTATAAAGCTCACCAGAACCTCTTGTATACATCTCACCTGTACCCCTTCTATACAGCTCACCATAGTGAGCATGCATAGTCCAACAGACCTGGCTAGATCCAATACAGATCAGCTTGAGGATGTCCAGAAACTATACTAAAATCAGAGGTCAGTTTGCTGGGAAAGTCCATCTGTATTGCCGTTCTGTCGTTTGTACTGCACAGTAAAGTTGTAGGGCTGCAGTGCAAGACTCCACCGAAATAAGTGTCCGTTGTTCCTGGAGACTTGATTCAGCCAGATCAAGGAGTTCTCAGTGAACACCATGAAGGATCATCCATAGAGATATGACTGAAGTTTTTTCAGAGCCCACACCACCACCATCATCCCTTTTCCACAACTGCATACCCCACCTCCACGGATAGCAGTTTGCAACTGATGTAGGCAACAAGGTCCTCATTGCCGTTGGCCCCCAATTGGCTTAGCTCTGCTCCCAACCCAAAAGGTAGAGGCATCTGTATGGACACAAAAAACATTTTGGTCAAGGCCAGCAAAGACTGGCAGAAATTAAAGCATTTATTCAGGCGCTAGAAAGCATTCTCGCACTCTAGGGACCACAGGACCTGATGGGGAAGATTCTTTCTGTACAAGTCAGGGGTTTAACTATCGTGCTATAGTTGAGGGACAAACCTCCTATAGTACCCTAAAGTGCCTAGGAACGCCAAGACTTGGGCTTTCATCTGGTGAGTGGGCCAGTTGGCTATTGCGTCTAGCTTACCTGGTTTAGGGCGCTGTTGCTCACTTGATGCCTGAGGTACTGAACCTTAAACATCCATATGCTGTATTTTTTCCGGTTTTAATGTTAGTCCCATAGCCCTGATGCAGTCTAACACGGCACCCAGGTGGAGCAGATATACCTCCCAGGTATTGCTGTAGAACCCAATGTCATCCAGGTATATACAGGCATAATCCTAGAGGAATCAATGAGACCATCTACTATCCTCGAACGTCATCGGAGTATACTTCATCCCAAACAGAATGACCTTATACTGGTACAAGCTGAAGGGGGTTATGAATGCAAACTTTGGAACAGATTTCAGGTCCAGAAGAATCTGCCAGTACCCTTTGCATAGGTCATGGGTAGTTAGGAAATTACCTTGGGCGATGCAGTCTAACAGCTCATTAACCTAAGGCATGGGATATGCATCAGTCATCATGCAGTTGTTCAGCCTGTGGCAATCTACACAGAAACAAATAGTACCTTTCTGCTTCCGCACTAACACTACTGAGGATGCCCAGGGGCTGTTGGATGGCTCGATGACTCCTAAATCGAGCATCTCCCTCTTCTCCTTCCTCATACCTTCTCTCACTGACTCGGTTACCCGGTAAGTCACCTGCTACCTGCTAGAGGAGGCAATCCTGGGGTCTCCACGCGGTGCACATTCATAGTAGTGTACACAGGTTGGTGGAAAACATGTCCTGATGCTGCCTAAGGACCAGCTTGGCCAAGTCCTACTGCTCCAGCCCTAGCTGCCCATCTAACCTCACTGCCTCTACACCTGCTCTGTCCCCATCACTCGCTGGCTACCTCCAGCAGGGGAAGGTTCTCATATGG